GTTTGATAAAGTACGAAGATTGATTTATAATGGTGTGTAATGTGTTTAAAAACAAGGAATGGCAACAAGAATGGCAAAATATAAGATTAATATAAAGCAAATACTGCAAAAAGTATGCTTTGGTTAAAATATTCTATAATTAATGCTGAGTTACAACTGTGTAGCTAGTAACAGTAGTGTCAAATGAGTATAATAATGTTGTTAGGGCTATAAATTATATCCAATGATTAGCTAAATAATCCTACAATGGAAAGAAAACCAGCAATGCTGAAAAGGGATTTCGAATATCACATTGTACAGTTGAGACAGATTTAGTTTAGAGGACTTTTGAATTGAGACAAGCTCCTTTTAAATAAACTATTCATATTCAGTGTTCATTTATTTTTATCAGCCTAATTTTGGTTTCAATAATTATTTTGCCATTCATATCATCAAGGATGGAAGTGATTTAATGTTTTGAGGATAACACGAAATAAATCCTTTATTTTTAATCAGAATATCCTAGTACCAGGCCAGTGGCTACTACTCTTCCTTTTTCAAATTTCCTCTTTCCTCTCAAAAGGTTTTTAAGAGTAAAAAGTTAACCCTTTAAAAGAAAGACCTGCCTTATTCTAATGTCCTTGCTGGGTCCAAGCAGAAAACTAAAAATGTTGTATTCAATGTAAGCATCGACGGAGATAAGTCAGAGGGTAATCCACCAGGTGTGCTCGGTAGCCACAGTTGTAAGTGAGGGTCCTATTTGGGTAAGATAATGTTAATTTTTATTTTTGGTTTTGATAAAACGACTGGCAAATCTTAGAGTCGTACAAAATAGAAATAGAACAGTGAGCAGTACTTCTTGCGTTATGTAGCAGATTTCAATGTACTATTGTTAGCTCTATCAAATTTCCAGTAATTACAAACCCTTTTTTCTCTAGGAGATGGGGGGCAAGGGCTGGGATATATTTAGCCCCTTTTCCCAATGCAATGTTTATGGTGGGTCTTGCAATGCAGGTGGCTGGGAGTGGGACGACCATCTAAAGTCAGGGGATGGCAGAGCCCACACAAGTGCATTCACTTTCTTCTCTGTCATCGGACCACCAGTCACCTGTAGGGCACAGTAGACAGACATCCTGACAGCAAGGTGTGTCCGCAGCTATCAGCTCATCCCATATGACTTAGACACGATGGGAGCCGCATCCTGTTACAAATCTTTGCAACATGTACAGTCCATCTACAGAATTGCTTCCTAAGCTGAATACTCAGCAGGATTCTCACTAGGGGCAATGGCTTGTACTTAAAAATATACATTTTCTGTACAGAAGAAGCATTAATTCATTTCCTAAAGTCCCATGTCATCTCTCATTATAGAAACCACTTCCACCTTTGTCACTTGAAAGAAAAAAAGGTTAAATACAGAAGGTCTATGTTACCTTAGAGCTGATATCCATCCATGAATGTGGAGAAGCAGAGAGAAAGGGAGGGAGATCCAGAGAGGAAACAGAATGATAATAAGCAAGTCATGTGTACTGATCTGAGAAACAGGCCAGTAGCTTTGTTACAATAAATAAGAAAAGCAGAAGTAGATTTGAAACATTCGTTTCCCTTTATTAGCTCAGTGAGGCTGATGTGTACTGCACATTTAAAAAAAAAAATCACAGGAATTTTCATACAATGAATAAAACCACAACAATACATGTAGAATTGGCAGGTGGAAAAAAAAGCCCGGCAAGGGCTGAACTAATCGCTCACTTTCCCTCTTCAGCATAGTTCAACCAACAGTGTTACACTTTCACCTACAAATCTTAAAGTAGCTCCATCAAATCAGCAGTTCACATTATTGAAAATGTCTGTCACATAGGTACAAATTTAGAATCATCACATTATATTACATGGCTATTCTAGGTCATCTATAGATCAGGTCTTAGACTACAGTGATTGAAGTTCTCGTTACAGCCATCAAAAAAGGACACATAATCATTACCTACTGTAAGCTCACATCTAAAGGCATGAAAAGGTTTCCTTTTTTCAACTGACCCAACCATCATACCCCAATAGTGCAAAGTTCCCTTTCTGCTGCTTTGAATGTTGACAGCCCAACCGTGTTGTTCTCAGAGTCGTTTAGCAAAAATTGATTTTGTTGCACTGGAAGAATTATTCCGCTACATCTCTTTAAAAAAAAAAAAAAAAAAAAAAAAAAAACAACAAACCCACATTTCTAAAGCACCAGTTCGGTCACCAATATTGTAGATGTGGTACTTACCACAGCGTGAAGGCATTGGCCTGTGGTCATCTAAAAATCCTACAGTTCTATGCTGAAATTTGCCTCCAGTGATGATGGGGTGAATGTGTTCATGTGAAATATTCTCTCCAAAAAAAAAAAAAAATTAAAAATAAAAATAAACGGAACGCAGTTTACATTTTGATGGGCTACCCACAGGGTCTGCATAAGATACAAAAAGCTCTATTCAGATGGGTTAGTGATTCTCTCTTTGCGCTAATTTTAGATGCAATTTGAAGTCCATGGAGGAAAACTATCTTCATGGTAACGATATTTGTCAGGCCAGAGTGGGGATAAATTAATCCTCAATGTGAAATCTGTAGTGTTGTCTTTTGATAAGTAAGAAAAGAAACGAAGTATTTTACTCATGTCAACAATCCAGGGCAAAAAGGAGAATGTATTTAAAATTGGATCACAAAAATTTAAAGGCAAAGTAGAGAACGCATCTGGTCCTTGAACACATAATATGATTTACTAAATATTGATTTCTTAAAAATAATTTATTGCTCTTAATAGTCTTTTTATTATTATTATTATTATTCTACAACAGAAGATACTCAAAATTCTAAAATAAAGACTGTAAACTTTAGTTTGGCGTTCACACAGAGTTAAAATATCTGCATTTAATCTACAGAACAACAAGAATTAGGCGGATTAAAGATATGTTACTGCCGTAACGCAGAACAAGTTCTTTTATTTCATGTTTTTTTTTATTGCTTTCTATCTACTTAGAAATAAGAAGCCAAAAAATCAAGCAAGCATCCGACAGGACAGACAGTGGATTCACTCAGAACACAATATGCTGGTGATAAATGAATGCAGCTATCAAAATTAGCTGCATTGGCCTGGGGGTGAAATCCATTTTATAAGATTGTGTTGGGCGAGAGAAAGGAAAAGAACGATTAAGTAGTAGGTATCTCACATCTTCCAGAAAAGTCATGTCGGCCAAACTGTAATCGAATCTCAATTTAGAAACTTGAATACACACTCCAAACTTTACTGACTTCCATTCCAGGGCTCTGCACTCAGATGAAATCCTGATGCTCAAAATGGAGGTTTTTCTGAAGTTTTTATTGAATTTAGCAGAAGCAATGTCATCAAGAACAACATCATGGTCACGTCAGAGGCCAAGCTAGTGCAAGTAGGAACACCGCTTCTGCAAAAGCTGAATTTCCCAAATGAAACATTCAACTCCAACCTGACAATTGCCATGCATCCTAGGTAGAAAATTTCCACTGGCTTTATTATTTTCATCATCTCATAATTTATAATAAATAGGCTATCTGCAACTGATAAATATGTCTCTTTAGTAAACAAAGGAATGAATTATCAGTATTTATACAGGATGCATAACTGTAAAAAATACAGATAGATACCATCATCATACTCTGCCAAGGGAAAGAGACACTGGCTTCAAGAATAGTCTTCAGACACACATTAATTATTGTAAAAATCATACTGTAATTATTACCTCAGCATTTTGTATCAAATTAAAACCACAAAAATTAAAACGAAACAGCATTTTAAAAAGATTTCTGACCTCTAGTTTCAAAACTACTGTTGATAGAGAAAATAAAAACATTTCTTAATGGTTACCCATTGAGAGACTTTACATAAAATCATGATATCTCCTAGAAAAATTTTAGATGAGAAAATTTCATTCCCCTAACAAATCCAGTGTATAAAACTTCAAAGAAAAACAAGCAACAAGAAAATGTGGAAAAATATCGCATAAGTGGTTAATACCTTTAGGGGGCTAGGATAGTTCTTGACAAGATGCTTAGATTGAAGCTCACCTAGGGATGGATGTGCGTAAAGCATCATTTTGTTGTTGTTTGCACTTGACGGACACACACACTGTCTTTTTTGTTTTTACAATCAAATATATATAAGCAGTAAGTTCAGCTTCTAAATATGTTAGTGTACAATAATTGTATCACCTCATAATTACATTTGAATATTCTTGATTAAGAAAAATTTAGCAGTTTTGAAAAGAAGGCTGCATTTACAGTGCATAGCTGTAACAAAAAAGAACATTGTTGTATATATGTACACAAAATAAAAATACTCCATTTAACATCTGTAATTACTTCACTACATCAGAGAATGTAGCAATTTCACTATCTGAACACATACCAGAGAGTTCTACCCAACTCTCGTGAGTAATGTAACACCGTGCCTGCTCTCAGAAAAAAAACCACTGAATAAGCTGCACGCTTGACCATTGACAAGGCTTTTGTAATTTGCAGTGGAAGATCAACATTTTGGACATTTACATGGGTGTCAGGAGAGAGGATGAACTACAGAAACTTCAAAATGTTAGGAAAGTTTAGCATTCCGGTGCCCGCAGTATCCTCTCCCACCCAGACTCCATGGCAAGAGGAAAAAAAGAAGAAAAAGAGAGAGACAGAGACAGAGAGAGAAAGGAAGAGAGAGTGAGGGAAAGGAGGAGAGAGCAGGAGAGAGCAAAAGAGAGCGCGGGAGACAGACGGAGAGAGGGAGAGTGAGAGAAAGAGAGAGAGAGAGAGAGAAAGGATATTAGTTCTACAGAACCTGTGGTTTCTTCAGGATTGTCATATCACCATTATGTTATGAGAGAAAGCTTGCTTCAGGTCGATTTTGCACTTTCTTAAAAAACAGAGTACGGAGGTCGATGCCCAGACATCAGTGGCTGTCATTTTAGGGTGGTTTGTGGTTGGTTGGTTAGTTTTCTTTCCTTTTGAATTTATGCTTTTTTTTCCTTTTTGAATAGAATATGAACATTTTGAAGTTCTAGGTTTTAAGTGTGTCTTCATGGAACTGCTGCCATTTGAAGTGGTTTGCCCTGGCACACTCTGGTCAGGTGCCCCCAGTCCCCTCCTGTGCACACATACTTCCCCCAAATCAAGCGTGTGCATGCACGCACACACACACGCACAGACAAACAGACACACACACACACACACACACACTCCATCACCAAGAGACTCCAGGGAAAGCAAAGCTGACACCCATGAATAAACATGTGCTTACTCGATATCCATTCTGTCTCTTGCCTCTTCAGCAGCTGTGTTCATGTAAACCATTGTTGTTGTTCTTGTTGTATTGTTGTTTTGTTTTGTTTTTTATACAGAGAGTGTAAAGTAGGAGAAATTCCTAAGTATGACTTGCAATAGTCAGTTAGGGAAGGACGCGCTGTCCCGTGAGGTATTCACCGTCCCTCTGTCATCTTCAGCCAGGGAACATGTTACCTGCGCAAGCTTCTCTGAGCTTCTTTCAGTAAACTATCAAAATCCAGAGAGTCATACTTGCTCTTGGTGGAAGCAGGGTCAAAGTCATCTGAGTTTGAATCTGCAAGAAACCAAAGCAAGGTTAGACACACTCTCATTGTTAGTGCAATCGTCTAACTGAAGATTACTTGACTCAATAACAACTTATCCAACTGATATACTTCCAAAAATATACCCAACTTTTATTGATGGATAGATAGATTGATAGATTTTATGGGTATATTTATTTTATATGCACGCATGTGTGTGTATATATATGTATATATGTATTTGCAGAGGGTATATATATCCAATATTTTATTTTTATATTATTTATATGTAAATGTATTATTTATATTTATAAATTTATATATAATGCATAAAAATAAATATTTAAAAATACATATGTTTACAGAGAGAAAAGAAGAGAGAGTATAAGATTAGGCAATATGTTTACAGAGGGTAGGGACTGGTAAGCATTCAAAACACTACTTTTTGACTCATTTTAGCCATAAACAATCCTGGGAGGTAATCAGAACAAACTGTAATACTTCTAATCAATAGAAATGTATTCAATCAATATACTTTAAAAATAACCATGTCCTCCCTCCTTCCTGGCATATTAAATGATTTACCCAAGGTTCCTCGACAGCTCAAGTGAAGTGGTAAGAGTGGAAGTTGGAACTAATTTTCCTATTCAACGGGATTGGTTTCACTGAGCATAAAAGCCAGGTGAGTGGGAGGGAGAGACTCATCAGAACTTCACCTACTCGCCACCTGGCTGCTCTCCTTTCAGTCATGAGGAATATATGATCCACTTATCTATTCCAGTATCTTGGGATAACCCCAGCAATAAAATTCACCCCAAATTAGAAGGTCTAGGGAAACACTTCATGCCCAGGTAAGGCAAAGTCAACCTCACTAGTACTAGAGGAAACATACACAGGTATAAATAAAACCATGGTCTTCTTTGAACTAGTCCAAGTCAGCTTCTGTGAGAAGTTCCACATACTTCACATAGCCCCTTAATAAAATATTCATGTTTCAGCAATGATGGATATAAAATGAAATTCTGATTCTAAATATTTCTGAAATTTCTCCTGTGACATTTATAAAAAAATCAAATATTTCTGCTGGTCTTGCAAAGGAGGAAAGACATCTTAGAAATATAATAGAAAGCCTCTTGCAAATAAATTCATTCTCTTGAGAGCATTTACTTGAAGGGAAAACCAGTCCTTTCTGGGAAGTATTACCAATCCTACTAACAGATGAACATTTCTGTGTTTTATCCAGAATGTTACAGAACAGAAATGTCCGAAGTGACAGAAAAGTATAGGATTAGATAATATGGCAGCACACTCATTGACCTCACAAGCTGTTTGGCTGAAAAGGTTATGTTCTCCTAAGCTCTCCAGCACCAGGCTGGTTTTTTGCCCTAGCTTCAAACTACTTAGCCATCTTAGATTTAAAGACAAGGAAATTCCTTCACTTTTTTTTTTTTCCTTTCATTCTTACAATCCCTTGTATTTACTGACTTTTTGCCAACCAAGTTTTTCCAGGTAAGAGCAGCAGGTACAGTGGGGCTCAGACATAAAAGACAGGACAAAAATGGCCAATCTTTCCTCATTAATATTTCACATAGTCAATTCTTAAATTACACCAGCTTCCAACCTTCCCTCCACAGATAGCCTAAATGAGCAGTTGGCTTGTATCACTAAAGCCTCATGAGCAGCTATCATTCCAACCAAAGTCTTTTTTTGTAGACACACAGACACACACATGCTAAGTCCTGCTCATTGCTTGAGATTAACCTGAAACCAGAATTCCACTTGCATTGCAAATAAAGTTACAAGAGCCTCCTGATGGCCAGAGTCTGTGTGGCATGAAGGTCAGCACAGAAACATCAAGAACACACATACAGGCGTGCCTGGGTGGCTCAGTCGGTTAAGCATCTGCTTTCAGCTCAGGTCATGATCTCGGAGTCCTGGATCCTGGATTGGGCCCAGCATCAGGCTCCCTGCTCAGCAGGGAGTCTGCTTCTCCCTCTCTCCCTCCCTGTACTCATGCTCTCTCTCTCTCTCAAATAAATAAATAAAATCTTTTTAAAAAAAGAAAAAAAGAACACACATACAGATCCTTCCTTGAAGAACATGTTGAGAATATTCAAAATGTCTTAACTTTGGGTTACTCTATATCAAATCCAGAATTTCAGTGTTTCCATATTTTCATTAGCAAAAAAATAAAAAATAAATAAAATGGAAACGGTGGATCTCAAGAATTTCATTATGGAATATGATAGCTGGCATTTACATAGCTATAATCACTTGCACAGGCGGATTATGTCATACAGTAGATATCCGCACATCTTTTTTGTTGTATGAATACATGCTTACATGCAGTTCCTGAGACAACAACATCTACGCCACCAAAGGATATTGCAATGTAAGTAAGACATAATAGAATTTTGACAGGAAAAAGCCAAAAGCCACTCTAATTATTTTTTAAAAATAAATTGTTATAAATAGTGATGCCATATAAATAAAAACATAGCACAATACAACTGTATTCTTACCACCATAGAACTGTTGGCACAAATAAGGTACTAAGATTAGAATTTGTTGAATGAATGTAGTAATCTTGAACACCAACATTTTAAAAACTGGTTGAAATACCTTTGTGTTGGGATCTTGGGATGATTTACCAATGAATGCCAAGGGTATATATAAAGTTATATATATATTTGAGATACTGATAATGTAATACATATTTTGAGTTAGTAAAGACTTTGTGATGAATGTTACTTATTTCATTTTTCTTGTATGTTTAAGTATAAGTTCTGCACCATAACTAATTCCTGATGAATACATGATCATATTCTTAATACTGATCCTATCCTTCTCTTCTGGTCCTATAGTCCTATTTTAATTTCTGTCTTTCATCTTTAAGATTTTCCATTGAGGTCTTTGAGAAAGATCCATCTGTTTATAGGACAGTAAACAGACAGACTCACAGATTACAGATTCATAAAAACCAGGCTTACATCCTGGCTTTACCTAGGTAACCTTGATTGTCCCTTTAACCCTGAGTCTCACTTATAAAACTGACCATAATATTAACTTGGAATCATCACATTTTGAACTAATAGCATTGTGGTAGTCACTGGGTGGCCCCAATGGTAGAAGGATATGTAAGCTCACTTAATTTGGGGAGCAAAACATAAAAAAAATCAATTAAATCAATCTAGCTAAAATGATAGTTCACTTTACTTTTGGTAAAATTAATCAATATCACATCATTTTTACTAACTCTCAACACACATATATGTGAGCTCCCAATCCCTCTGAATGTCCAGTAAAATCTCATGTTCACCAAATTCACTGGTCAACCCCTGAAGCATTTAACTTGAACTCTTCAGGGAACAAATACAGGACACACATGAATGTACGTTGTTTGGTTCCAGATCTGGCCTCTGATGTTGATCCTTTCATTTCAAAATAACTTGACATTTCTAATTTCTCTCTGCCATCATTTTTTAAAATTATAATCATAGTTACTATATATCGAGCACCTACTTTATGCCAGATACTGTGCCAACCACATCACAAACATTTATTTAATCTTTGCGACAACATTATGAGGTAGTTTACAAATGAAGAACCAGAGTCAGAGAGAGCTTAATTGTTTGCTGAAGGTCAGAAGCTAAGTCAGGTTTCAAAACCAGGTCTGTAAGATTCCAAAGCCAGGGCTCTTTCCACTACACCATGCCTATGCTCAGATCGACTACCCTTCGTGAAATTGTAGGGCTTGAGGGAATTGGAAAAACCCATGCTAGTACAATACACATCAAACATACTTTTCAGAAAATACAGAACCGGCTTAGCAACGGCAAAGTTTCTATTGCTGCTGGCGAGGCAGAAAGATAACAAGAGGGGAAGCATTCTTCTCAGAAATATTTCAGGGAGGATCCAGTTCAATTTGGAAATACCATCCAATCCTCCCTCTCCCAGTGATGAATCGTGATTTGAAGGCCCCTCTAGGTAGCTTATTTTAAACTCTAGATATTTTGAAAGACTGGAAACACCCTGGTCTTCATCACTGAAGAAAATAAGTCAAATCAACTTAAGACTTCAATCCGTCTTGACTGTTTTTATCAGCTAACATTTGAACAAATGACTTGCCACCGTTTATATTTTCATCCCTAGGCCTCTAACTCTCTGACAGTCAGCTGCCTCCCCCCTGCTTCATACTATCTATTTAGCTTGTGAAGTGAATTATAGCATATTCCCCCTGAACAATGCACACCACCTATATCAATTACTTTAGGAAGATATCACTTTGGTGGAGGGGAGAAAAAAAATCCCTGTATTTGGTATTCATTTCTTTCCTTATACAAGCCAAAGAAAGTGCAGACAGATATATAGTAATGCTGAGGAATAGATTTATATGTTAATTTTATGTGATTATTATAAATTGATTTAAATTAATTACATCAGGTGCACAAGACATTTGCCATTTCCCTTCCTTCATTTCTTCATCAAAGGATTTAAAGGCTTAGAATATGTGCATTAAATAGGGAATGGAACGCAAAGGGACCAAATTAAAATTGGGAAGAAAATTAAGATGTCCATTTTGGCATTATTTATAATGCCAAAAAATTGAAAGTTGAATAAATGTTTAGCTACAATGGGATGATTAAATGTAATGGTATTCACCTAACATAATACTGTGCAACCATTAAAAAAGTTAATAAATTATTTTCAATCCCAAAAATACAGTAGAAAATGAACTTACTTAATATGAATTGAGAAGAGCTAAATTTAAGAATTGATAGATCTAAATTATGTGACCTCAACCAGAAGAAATTAGACATCTTGAGACAAAACACTGGACTGTAAATCACACAGCAGATCTCTAGGTGATGGGCTGATGGGTGATATTACTATTTTTCCTGATACTTTTTATATTTTCCAAATTTTACCCCTTGAATCTGTATAGTTTTAGAACAGGAAAAAGGAATACTTACAAATGCTTTGGTTTCCTTATCTATAAAAGGAAGATAATAATAACAACCACCTCCCAGGATCGTTCTGGTAATTAAATTTAAAAAAATGTTGCAGAGGCCCTGGCACAGTGCCTAGCATATGAAAACACTGGAAAAAAATAGTTTTTTTTTTTCTCCTTTTTTTTTTTTAGAGAAAGTATAATGTGATTTAGCGTATAAAATTATATTTTCTTCTCTCAAGGTATAATTTGTAGAAAATGTCTTAACATTTTTAAGAGTTTGTAGGATAATAAGGAAAAAAGAACCAGAATATTCTTTTGCATATTCTGTTCCATAAGACAATTATGCTAATGCTAAGGTTTATACAGAAGGATTCAGGGCAGGCACAGAAAGCAACAACACATTGCAAACCTATGCAAAGACACACACACACACAGTGCAGACTTCAGTATTTGGGAAGACAGTACAAAGAATTTACTTCTGTTTTTTGCTGCCAAAACCCGAGCCCTTTGCTTCTAAAACTGTCTTATACCTTTAAAAAATTAAAAATAAGATAAAATCTGTATTCAAACATTCCCTCCAGCAAAATAAAGTGATGGTCCAACCCAATATGCCCACGGTTTACATCTGCTTCCATTTTGAGCCCTCCATTATGGATTCCTCATTCCACATACAATAAAATCCATACCTAGGTCTGCATAGTTAGACTTGAAAAATTGCTTGCGTCCACAAAAGTACAGCTCGAAGTCAGTTTCATTCGACCTGCGCAAAGTGTATCCATTTTCAAGAGCAGCAAAAGCATCACAGGTATAACGGTAGGTAATGAAACCATAGCTGTCTCTGCAATGGACAAAGAGGAGAGGTTCAAAGCTTGTGAGAAAGCATTAACATATATGCCTGTAACCCTTCTTAACTTTGGAAGACTTCGCCGGTGCCAATGTCTGAACCACTGCATCCATTTATCAGTGTGATTGTCCTGTCAAGCAGCTAAATACTTATTTCTGGGATAGGAAATCTCAACTAGAAAGATTAATAAATAGGGATAAAAGAAAATAAATAAGGTTCTGAACTCAACATGTCATCTGTCAAAGCATTCCCATCCTAGCAATCTTATGGCTATAATTTTTTACATATGTCAGTTTCTAAACAAGAAATAATCTTGAAGATTCTTACCCATCATCCCTCAGATTTACTGTGCACTCCTCAATTTCACCAAAAACTTCAAAACGGTCCCTCAGTTCCGTCCGTGTCGTGTCAGGTCTGATTTTACCCACATAAATCACACGGCGTTCTTCCTGGGGAGGGGGTGGGAGTAAAGAGAGACTTTTGCCAATTCTGGAGATAGGAAGGAAGGTGCACCTCTACCAACATACCTAAATGGACAATCATGCATAGCGAGAACCCAACAAGCATGCCAGTTAAAGCAAAACATCCACTAAAACTGAATGAAAAGATGACACATGACCCATGTCTTAGCATCCATTTCTCCGTGTTCTGCATTCACTCTTCCTTCCATGTGCCCTACTCTGACGCTCACTCTCTTCTGCTTTTGTTCCCCAGCTCTGCACTTTTCTCTCCTGAGCTTTGATATATTCCAAAAGAAATAGGGGAAATGCGATCTGTTTATCACTGGACAGCTGAAGGATCCCTGGTAAGTACTGTAATCCTCATGACTTGATTCTTAATCTTCCATATTGGTAAGAAACTCACCCATCTCACAAAACTGCTTAACTTCTCGTTTTACTCAGGATTCTCATGGTGAGATGTACAAATTTTGACATCCCTCAAAACAACAATTCTAAACTCTAGTATAAATAAAAATAACCTGGAGTCCTTATTAAAAATGCTAATTATTGGGGTTTATCCTGGCAGTATTAAAAAAAAATTGGAAAAGACAATTCAATGATCTTCATTTTTAATAAGCACACCCTAGTGATTCCAATGCAGGTGGTCCAAAGACAATAATTTGAAAAATACAGTCTTAAAATGTAGGCTATTTTAAGCCATGGGTCTCTGAAGAATCAGAGCTATAAAAGAGGCTATAAATTTCACTTTGCCAGTGAATCTTATTTTAGGAACAGACTAGAAGGGTGTGGCCTAATTTTCACAAATGGAGTCAATATCATCATAATCTGAAAGTCATCAGCAATTTATAACCTACAAAATATGGAAATAATATCTTATAGCCCAAGGGGGGACTCCTTTTTCACAAAATAGTAAAAAACCTTTCTTGGTAACAAGAAGCAGTCCTCTATCAGTTGTTCTAAGAAGACAAGGCCAAAGGAGATGATGTCTCTCAAAACCAAGGGAAGGTTTTTCAAGAACACAAGGATTTAATATAAGGCATGCGTTTACCAACTCATCTCTACATCTACTAAGAACAAACAAGAATGAAGTGAGCTTAGGGTTGCAGAGGCTTCAGAAGGTGGGAGCAGAGAGACTAGGAAACACAGAAGTAAGGCATAGATTTGCCCAAGAGTTTTCTCTGGATGTACTGAGAGTATCCTGACGTGGGTGATGTAAAGAGTAATTTAGGCTTATGGCAAAGAGATGCTTTATGTTATTTCCCAGAAGTCTTTCCTTTTCATATCCCCAATGTTTAGCAAAGGGCCTGGCAAAGGGAATTCAATAAGTACTTGTGAAGTGTAACTAAGCAATTAATAGAGCTTTTTACTCTATTTTATACTCTCCTAGGTGATCTGATTATTGCGCCTCATCTTCTCTTACTGTACGCAACGCTCCTATTTCTGTTTTCATCAGAGAAGTTCTTCTGAGCTTCAGACTCCAATCGCCAACTGCCTACTTGATATCTCAGTCTGGATGTCCTCTGAGCCCTTCAAACTAGACCAACATTCTCCAAACCCAGCTCTCCAGTCCCCCACTCCCCCAGGGGTCTTTCTCCAACGTTCTTGTGTCAGTGAAATTAGCGCCATCCAGTCAGGTATTCAGGACAAAAACCTGAGTGCCTCCTCCATTCTTCCCTCTTAGTCCTCTCTAGACATCCAATCACTTGTTAAGCCCTGTTGAATTTTACCTCCTACACATCTTTTTCTCTTATATCGCCCCTAAACCAAGCTGCCAGCATCTCTTTCTGGACAAGCATAGCAGCCTCTCAACTTGGATCCTCTGTCTATATTTGCCCTTCTCTAATCTATTCCTTCACTTCAATCTGAATAACCTTTGCTAAGGAAACAGGAATCTGATAATGTCAATTACTGTCTAAAACATATCAGTGGCCTCATATAACTTTGAGGAAATTCCTTAATCATTAACAGGACTCATCAGGCCCTGCATGGTCTGGACCTGTCTTCATCATGTTCTCCTCTCACTTCCCATTCTTCCCTTTATTTTCCAGTCACATTGAGCTCCTATTGGTCCCTTGTATATACTGAGCTCCTTTTCTTTTCCCAGGCCTTCACGCCAGCTGTCCCCTTGCTCCTTGTAAGATCCTCCCCACACTGCCTCTCCCTCTCCTTCACCAACATACATGTACTGTCTAAAATTACATTGAACACAAAAATCATTTCCTTCTGAGACTTGAGATGAGGTCAGGCTTCCTACTAGTTGATCTTACAGTACTGAATTTCTCCTTTATAGTTCTCTGCCCAATTGTAATTAAATAGTTAATAGTTAATTCATTGTTTATGTCCATCTCTCCCTCTACAGTGAAAGATTCCTGAAAGCAAAAATCACATCTGTCCTCTTAACTACTGTATTTTAACGGTACTTGAAACATACCAGCGTCTCAATGAATATTTGTTGAAAACTCGATCAATCACCAATCAATTGATCATCTTTAAGTCTCGCCCTTATGCCTACATGTAATCCTTACTCTCTGAGACTCTCTAAGACAATGGAGAATGAAAGCCAGCTTTGCTGCTTAATCACAGGGAAAACCCTGTCTAGGTAGCTCAGCTGACTGAATTGACAAAGATTTCTATGATTTGTTTTATAGGTTTAAGTGGAAGAAGAATGTAGTAACTACATGTTTGCAGAGCTCTCACTCTTGAAATGCCTTCTGAAAATCAGAGGTGGGGCTCTACAGAGACCCTCAGTAAAACACAATTCCTCTGACAACAGGCTTCAGGCCTAAATAATTGATCTGGTGAAGTAAAGCCAACAGAGTCGACTGCATGGTTCACTTCCATGTAGATTGTATGTCATCTCAACTGAAGGCTGGAATTGCATTGTTCCAGAGCACCCAGCACATCCTGGAGATCATTAAGTATAAAGGCATGGCGAGCTCATCCTGGGGCAGTGTTATACAGTGTTGTAAGGGAGTCAGAACATGACATTCCATTCTATTTATGCAGCCAGCTCTAACCAAACAGCGAAATGGGATGGGACATTATCTAAACTTTGTGGCGCCTGCTTGCATGGGTGTTTTTTACTTTTCCTTTTTTCTTTTTTTTTTTTTTTTAATGGGCCTTTTTAGGAAGGTTACTACTGTATAAAGAAAAAGGAGGGGGGAATGAAGAAGAGAGAGAAAGAAATTGAACCATCACAAAGAAATTGCTCAACTACCATTATGGGAATACACACAGCCTACATATTCGAGGAAATTTGAAGTTAAAGCTAAAATCGACCATATGCACGTCCATATGCAGACATATTGGGACAGTCTCTGAATTGCTTCTTTATACAAAACTGTATGCAACAATGATCCTACAAAGAAGATAAACCAGAGGACCTTTTCGGATACTGATACATTCTGCAGTAAAAAGAAGACACAATCTCGATGGGAAAAACAGAAACCCCAAGGGCTGGTGCACAATCACATAAACTACCTATTTGTCTATCATCTCCTTTTATGAAACACAGGAATGGAACCATGTCTTGCTTCCTTACAAAGATCAGAGATTGAATACACGCTGAAATTCTCATTTTAGAAAATGATTAGAGTGCTTGGTTTTCCTAGTGCTAAAAATGAAACTAAAAGACATCTGAAGGTCTAAAAGCAAAGACAAAAATCTTTCAAAGATTGGCCAAAATGTCTAGAAAAGAACCGATTATTTTTAACATGTTGCGGTTTTATTAGACAGATGAATAGATTCCATATCTTTAAAAAAACCTTAACATTTGCAGCCAATTTTTCAAGACATTAATTTCTAAACAGGAGATGAAAGGAAAAGAAATCAAAATGCTTAATAACATTTTCAACTTCTTAAAGGCTTGGAGGAACTCTAAACCTTTGGAAAAAGCTCCTTGAAAAATGATTTTCAGACCAGTTTTCACTATTGAGGAGGATGGAACATTCATCAAATATCTTTTAGCTTCAATTTTCACAAAAGCTAGTTTGCTGATGGGGTGGATAACAAAATCGAAGATTTATATTGCATTAACAGGTATAGTAAATCAGCATTACATCAAAATACAGAGAGATAAATAAAGAAAAATATGAACTGAAATTAACTGACTTTGCATTATCAAAATCTTTATCGAAAAGAGAACAGAGCCTCCCAGTTAGCTGGGGAAAACATACAATGGCTGTTTCTCATCAACTAATAAGCTAGTCCTGGTAAAAGGGATTTGACTAAGAGAAAGGGAATTTCATAGGGAGATTAACATTTATTGAATTCTAATATATGCCAAGTAGTGTGCTTGATGCTTCTGTAAGGGTGATCTCACTAAAATGCTCTGCAATGCTAGGAAACAACAAGGAACAGCCTGCTAATTTAGATTTTGGTTCTCAGAACTTTTATTCTACTTTTATTTTATTTTATTTCCAACTCAGGATAATGTAAAAATTCTTTCTCGTATACTAAGGAAACTGCATGTCAGCTTCAGCCATGAAAGATTTATATTCATTTCCAGATTAGCTACCAACCCAACTTCCTCAGAAATTCCAAAGAAATCCCAAATACTATATGTGAGATGAATGGAGAAAATCTATGTCATTTAAAGCTAAATGGTATAGTGAGGTCCTCCATCTAAAAGATAAAGTGAGAGGGGGAGATGGTTGTAAAAAGGCAAGTATGGACAGAAAGGAAAACCAAAACCTTGACAAAATGTCAAAAAAAAAAAGTTGTTTTTTTTTTCTCTCTTTCTTAGTATTAGTTACACTATCTAATTCTGTAGGCATTCAGTAAGTGTCTAATACTAGGGGGCACTATTAGGGGAGAAACAAAATGACAGCATCAGTTTTCCAAAGGTACTTGCCTCCAAGTACAACCTAAGAACACTCTTCCTTAGAGTCTAAGGTTGGATCAATGTGAATAAATCCAGGCTAGTCTACTAGGGCTAAGTGCAAGGAAACACACTGAAAAGACAGAAACTTTGGGACAACTTCCAATAAAATTGATAATTTCAAAATAGTGAGCTTCAATTAATTATAGAATATATATTCTAATCCACGGGAAGTATCTCTTGAAAGAGGTTTGAATAGAGAACTATTTTCTCCAAAAATAACAACTATGAAAAATTACTTTTTTTTTTTCATTTGGAAGGAGCTGATAATTATCCATGATGAAGTGCTGTTCCTGGCTCCTGGGCTGCAGACTGACGAAGGGAAGAGAGAAATGAAGTGGTACTGTCATTGCCCAGGCACACTTGGTTTGGGTTTCGAGCACTGAGCCATATCCTAATGTGTAGATTTGCCCTTTAAATTAACATCCCATTATCATGTTTTCTGGCAGGAAAGTGTACCGACTGCAAATGGAGCTGGACTTAGAACTCCACAAGAAATGAGAGCAGTGACAGTTTAGACATTAAGTACCAAACTCTGGCTTGCAGAGTTTTGATTAACCTGAGTGACTGTAAGCCTAGGAGGCTAAGGAAGGTAGAGGGTGAAGTGGTTCTTGAGAAAAGATTTTGGTGGAAAATGGAGGAAAGGAGCAACCAAAACAATGGCAATGGTCAACCACAATATAGGATTCTATGTCAGTAACTACTAATTATCAACCTTTTCTTAACTCTCAGATTTGCTGTAGTCAGACTGGTCTGGATAAAGACTTTTAGATGCATAAGCAATGAAAAAGTATAAAGACTTCCTAAATCATCTCCCCATGGAACACAAAATGACAGAAATATATACCACAAGACAAAGGTAGCAAAGACTAATTTTATAAAATATCAATTATTAGATGATTTTAACATTGTTTTTCATTTCCTTTTTGAGCTTCTCCTTTGCTTGTCCTTTCATTATATGACTGATCTGAATTAATAGATAACCAGCACCATACCCTAGATATTCCAAACATAATTTGCTACTTGTTCAGTAATTCAAGGGTGTCCCAAAAATATGAAGGGAAATCACCTACCCAACCAGCTTGGGAAGACTGTCCTATTTCCTTTAGCTGTTTTGTGAATGACATCTCAAGCTAAACCAATCAAATGAGTCAAAACCCATTGCATGTATCTCTGCACCCAAGTCCATAAACATGCATTTTGCAAATGCACTGTGGCACAAGAAAGCAGATCATCTTGAGGAAGGAAATTGATCATAAAATCTTTCCATGGGTAAACTCATTAAGTAATTCCACTATGCCTTTAAGATAGACTTTACAATCTTTATCATGACTTGTGAGTCACTTTAAGGATCTGGCTTCCATAAGGTCATGAAATCCAGATCCTTTAGACTCATTTCCTGTTGCTCCTGTGCCCCAGTATTCTGGTTAAATGACTAGCAGTTTCCCAATATACCTTGCTCTTGGCCAGCGACTTAGTGTGAGCTCTAGCTTCTGCCGAGAATAGCAATGTTCAATAAAAATATAATGCAGCATATACAATTTTAAATTTTCTAGGAGGCACATTTTAAAAAGTAAAAAGAAACAGAAAATTTAATTTTAATATTGTATTTTATTTAGCTCAATATATCCAAAATATTATTGTTTCAATGTCATTGATTTAAAAAGTATTAATGAGGAATTTTACACTTTTCTTTTAAACTTAGTCTTCGAAATCCAATCACATTTATTAGTGCATCTTAATTCACAACTAGCTGCATTTGTTGTGTGCCCAGAAGCCACCATATTGCACAGCACAGGTGTAGAAAACCTTTCCCCTCCTTCTCTTTTGATTTCAGAATAATCTCACCCTCTCTACAGATGCTCTCTCTCACTCTCAGGTCTAGGTGTTCCCCCATTTGCCATGAGAGGACCTTGAACCTCTCTGGATACATGGACCAGGTCCTACCTAATTTTATGTCCCAAGCACCTAGCAAATGTTTGTCACATAAAGGATCATGAGTTTTCACTCATGTTAAGCAGAAATAGCATATCATTGTCCAAGAGGGGATTAGTTTAAGAGTAAATCCCAAATCTTTATATTAAGCTCTTATTAACTATAGTCCATTGTGTTGGTTAAGTAAATAATCTCTATGTCCTACTTTTGGGGGTGGTGTTGTTATTTTAATCTTCTTTTCCAAAACAAAAATAAAAAAAAAAAAACCCTCAAAGTGAAAATTCTGACAAATGCTTAATTTTTAATAATTTAAGCCAACTTGACATTTGTACTATAAGAGTGACCTCAAGGTTGCATTTGATGAAGCTATCAATTATGGAATGTAGACCAATCACATTATCTGATGTTTTGGAAAAAGCCAACTAATGAAAGACCCCTCCCTCATTTTATGCACTTTTGTTGATTATCTGGCACTGACTTATCTTTAGAAGAAAGAAAAGAAGCACATGCTGTATTGCTTTATTTATCCACAACTTTGGATATAGTGGTGTATTTTGCCCAAATGAGCTAATACATGATGAAATTATTAATCTCTCTCTTCAATGTGATACTTTGGGGAAGAAACATGAAGGATTTTATAAAATATGAATGTGCAAACACTGAAATAACTATTTTCCTACATGCTTGCTCAACATGATTCTCTTTTGTAAAGATTAACTCTAATGTGCCATATTAAAAGGCTTTGTAAACTATATGGCATTATATAAATGTGAGTTATTATAATTATTGAACAGGCTATTAATTAAATATAACAAAATTAGAAAAATTGAATTTTTAATTTTCATTAGTCTTCTTAAGTGTTAACTAATGACACTCTGACAGCTCTTAATATCACAGCTCATTTGAAAGTTGAGAAAAATGAGCAAAAGTGTTGTAATTTGCACAGGACTTTTGATTCAGCCTTAGGTAGATTCAACATTAAAGGACAACAAACACCCTTGACCTTTAGCCTAAGTATTCAATCACTTCTCCCTTCTTCTCCTTGAGAACCTGCAACCAACAAGCCTCTCAGTTCACCTTTCCCTCTGATTGATAACTGTCAGCTACTGCTTGATTTTGACTCCATTAGTCAGTTCCTTTTTGTAGGTTTTTCAAGATTTTGTGGATGGTAGGAGGTTTTCTTAGAGGCACTATATAAATCTAACCCTTACAGTGAGCAGTCATTTCCCTAAATGTTGGTTACTTTCTATGCAAGATAGGTGAAAAGCTGATCTAACTGAAATGACTCTCAGGAGCTAGCAGAGATAGGCAGCTGATGTAAACAAAATGGTGCCACTTCTGATTGATTACTTAGGGCTCCCTGAAGCACTGAGTTGGGAGAGACCTAAAGCTTCTCTGCGGGCTCAGTGGGAAGAATTCCACAATTGATTAGGAATGTCTGCCATGGACAAGACTGACAAGTGGACTGACAAGAACTGCCATGGGAGTTCTGGGTTGATAAGCAATAGGAGGGAGGTGGGGTAAAGACTACCAGTTTGCGAGTGGGTGCTGAAAAACTACTGACCTGCAGAGAACAAACAAGTTCAACATAACCTGGAACTTTAGACCAAAGAACCAGTAATGTTTGTTTGTCAAGGAAACACGGTACCCTGACATTAAGTAGTCCCAAAATATGGAAGGGGTTATTGAAAAGCAGTTCATGAGAAATGTGGATGTATCAACTACTCAGTGAGATGCTGACCCAGCACAAGTCCAAAATGATGACTTTTAGCCCCTCCTCCTCCCCTGCCTCCTTCAAATCCAGCTTGAACCCAGTCCCTCCATGGACAATCCAATTCTAACATCTGCCCAAGAGACAAAAACTGAAACCAAACACAGATATGGCCTCATTTCCCACTCCAACAAAATTGCAGCAGAGAACAGTCTGAAACACTCGTCGTCTGACCGGATGGAACCAGTGTTTGACCAAAAACAGTCCCTGCTCCCTCCATTTTGGAAAACAGTCATGGGTTTCCAGATGAATGAGAAATATGAAGTATGAATAAGAACATACATTCATTGAACATTTTGCTTCCCCATCATCTATGTCAGGAGAGCTTGGGGACCCTCTGATGTTTTAAAGTCAAAAGGCTGCAGAATATTGCATATTCTAACAAAGCCTTAGCTTTAGTTTATTTTCTAATCTATAACAAAGGAAGAAAGAAAAGAAGAGAAAAGAAAAGAAAAGGAAAGAAAAGGAAAGGGAGGGAGGGAGGGAGGAAAAAAGAGAGAGAGAGAAAGAGAGAAAGAAGAAAGGAAGGAAAAGAAACCCTCTTTTAAAGCAAAAGTGAGCTCCAAGCTGCTTACAATTGCCTTCTGCCTCTGCCTCTCCCTTTGTTTGGCCCTCTCAGATTCCCGCTTCTCATACTCTTTGCGGTATTCTTCCCTCTTCAGCCTTTCGTGCTGATATTCCTCGTAGCTGTCATACCTGAGAAACACAACTTCATCATTAAATCAACCGCCTCCGTTTACACAGGGCACAATGAATCAGGAACTGGGAAGGGGGTTAGGGAGTGAGCTAGCTCATGTCATCTAGAGGAGGGGGAACAGGAGGAATGGAAGGTAAATGACCCGCGTCCTTACCTGGGCCTACGGCTGTAGGGCGACCTGGAACGTGATCTTGCACACAGAGGAGAATTTCGGTGTGCGCGGTGTCTGCAGTGGCTCGACTCAAAGTAGTAGCAAGATCTGCGAGCGAGAGGAGAAACAGAAAGGGCATTTGCAACTGCCACTTAACCCTGCTTTATCAGCCCAACTGAGCATGCCCTGGAAACACCATAGGACATAAAGCGGCTCTTTTTCTTCCTAGCTACTGGTGAGATTTCCCGGTGACAGTTTGTGATCATCTAGTCAGCTTAGAGGTCTGGAAGTGATGTATTCTCTCCCAGGCTCTCTTACTGATGTTAATGCTGGGCACCAGTCTGGTACACTGTCAACTTTATCTCGCATGGATCTCAACTATCCTGGCACAGGGCAGCTCTCCAGGTAATGGAAAAAGTTAGATGAGCAAGTTTCTTACAAATTGCTCTCTGTGATGCAACTAGCTCAAGGCACTGTGCTGAAGGCTGCCAGATTTCAGAGAAGATGAGGAGGCATATCTGTGTAACAACAACCTGGTTAGCTCCGGAGGTGTTGGGAATCGCCTGGCGAGAGGGGCTGGGGCTGTCTGTGGGTTTTGAAAGCTTTTTTTGGACCTCACGCTTTGGGTGGGCATTGGCAAAGTTTACCTTGAAGAGGATCTACTGCCTGGGGACCTTGATCTTGACCTGGAATATGGTGATCGGGAGCACGACCTGTGTCGAGAAAAGGACCTTGAACGAGAGCGCATCCTTTGGGGTCTTTGAGCAAATAAGGATTTGGGTGGTGACACGGAATCTCTACATGGAGAGTTAAAAGAAGAGCAAGAAGGCGACACATCGAACAATGAATAGGATTGCGTGCCATCCCAAGGGTAGTTCAGTTTATCACTTTCATCTTCGCTGTCATCAAACAGGCCATCCATGGCTAGTCCTGAATTTATAAACATAGGTAGTTTGGAGAATTGTTCATTACTGAAATCACTGTCCCTCAGTTCACTGGTCTTGTCTGCTTCGTCGTCAAAAACAGCTTGACTGGGATGACCGAAGTGCTTGTTCAGCTCGGCTCGGATTTCCTGGTCTTGGAGCTGTTTTCTGGTGCTGCAAGGAGAGACCTGCTTGCCCGCCTCCGAAGTCTCTGTCAGGAAGCCCTGGTCTGAATCCGTGGAAGAACAGACCTGCCCCTGCCAGTCGGAGGAGGCATCTTTATATCCTAGTGGTCTAGAGTCTTGGAAATCCTGTGATATATTAATGAGTATTTCCGTTTTGGAATTAATTGACTGACAATAGTCATGGTCACCAAACAGCCGTAGACTGGGCCGCTTGGCCTTCCTTTCCTCGTGTCCACTGGTGAGCACGGAGGTCTTGCTGAGCTGTGCGTACAACTCAGACTGCTCCGGCCCTTTCTTGGTGGAGTTATTGCCTTGGGCGCCAGAAGGCTCACTGTTCCGAGGCTTCTTCAAGGGCGGAGGTACCACCGTCTTGCAGGAGGACTTCAGCTTCGGAGAAGTCCTGAAAGGATTATCTTGGTTGGCTTTATGAGGAGGAGTTGTGGGTGGAGTTAGGCCTGAAGGTAAAAAGGGAAAATAAACAACAACAAGAGGGGGTGGGGTGGGGAGAGAGACAAGAGACAGAGATAATGCTGTTAAATTGCAGGATACGTTGCCCTAACTTTTGGGGGATTTCAGACAATGGTGACAAAGAAGAAAACGAAATTCATGTCAAGACCTGAAAAAGTGCCTCTCTCCCCCTCAGCCTCTGCCACCAAGAAAAGATGGATCTCACGACTGCCAGGCATCAGTGAAATCCGTGATGTTTTGTATTTTAAACACCCATGCTAACAGATCTTGCTTCCGAGAAAACATTAACGCCTCCCTACAGGCCTCCACGCACCCGGCATTACCAAAGCTCATATTTCCAAGGGCATTGTCTGTCTGCCTTGTGGAGAATTAAGTGTGGCCCTGGGGAATCACAGAGTAGCTTTGGTAGCATTTGTCCTCAAAGAAAGCTGTAGAGCGCACGAGTGGATCAGAAATTGTTCTCCAATCAAGAAGCCGAAGAACTAGGCAACTTAAAAAAAAAAAAAATACGGGATGACCGCAAATGTAGGGCAGGGTCAGAGTGACAGAGACAAACTTAAAGTTCAGAAAAATACGACAGACCAAGGCAGGGAACCAGACGACTCTGCAACTTGACGGCAATGATTCTTTGTCTCCACAGTTCATTAACTTAGTAAACCATGGCTAATGTAGGTATAATACTTTCTTGTAAGCATAACTAATACATTCTGTCTAAAATATGGTTCTGCAACAGAGACCTAAATGAACAGAAACACTAAATACTGCAGTGCCAGCGGACCATTTTATTTAGAGCACAACGTTGGGGTGGGCGAGGAGGCTGACGGATTGAAACAGATCCAAACTTCAGCAACCAACTAATTAAAAAAGTAGGAAAAAAAATAAAGGGAGACAAGAGAAACCCCGTCAGTGGGTGCCTTTCGTCCTTTTCTAGGGAAGAGCAGGAAAATTCCATCAGATGCCGTCGTGGGAGAGTCTGTGAATTATAGTTGCCTCCTCTATGTTTTGCCCCTGAGAAAGTTCTACATGTCCCTTTACATGGAGGGAGGATAATCGGGAAATGGCTCTAGAGTCCAACGAACTTTGAAGAAGGGCAGGCTGGAGTTCAAATGACATTATGCTTACAGGGGAATATTTGAGTTTACAACCCATTTTCTATTTAGGAGGATGCGTGAAGGCTATTCAGCAGAAAAGAACTTCAAGTCTGCTAACAAGCCTGGGGTTAGACTTAAGGCAATTACACATTTCAAGGAAATGACAGAGAAATCTAACCTTGTTGGAGAAAGGAAAAAAAAAAATATATATATGTGTATGTATGTATACACACTCAAACACACACATACACACACACATAATCAAGTAGGTCACAGAAAGCCACTTGAAATTTTGGCATGAACAGGAAGATACTGCCCCTTTCTCCCGCCTTACAGTAAAGAGATGGAAGAAACTAATTTTAATATTTCCTCTATAATAAAATATTTTACACTAATATTTGGCAATTTTTATTATGCATAGCTAATGCTTCTTAAATAAGGAGAGCAAAGCTATACGAATGCAAAGTAATTTAACTTTGGAACTCCATCCCAGAAAAGCTCAGTAAGACGGGGAATACAAACACAAAGAGAAGGGACACATCAGGTCCCAGCAAAGCTTCCTCGAGTTAGCAGCCACTCTTTGCTGGAAGATAACCGAGAGGTGACCTATTACTGAATGAAACATCTTTGTCACTGAGGCCCACTCTCCTTTTGTTCCCTCTTTCATGGACAAGTATGTCTTTTCCTCCATCTAAGAAATTCCTACATAATCAGTCTTTCTCCTTTCTCTCTCTCTTTTTCCCTCGTTTTCTTTACCTTTTGCACTGCCCTGTCATAACACTGATTCAACTGCATTCTACCTTCAATTGCCATTAAGACAAATTTAAAGCTATTAATGCCCCCCTCAAACAAATGACAAATTCTCAGATATTTCTCATAGGAGGCTAAGATGCTCAAAGAAATAATGATGAATAATCTCTCTTTGCTGAAAAAGTAACAGTCAAATATTCCAAATGGCATAGCCCTTGAATGGAGAAATGACATTCGACATTCTAAAATTCAATTTCATAAATCTTTTTATGGTTCCCAAACTAGGGTAGTTTTTACTTTCCTAATAATTTACTGCCAGGATCATTCATTAGACACTTATCGGATAGTGCTATATATTCTTGTTCATCTCTTTTTGAATGTATGTTTTATCCTGTCTCTCCAAATAGATGATATGCTCTTAGTGGAAATGTTGCCTGGGCTTATTTTTCCAAAAATTCTTACTCGCCTATTTATTTATTTTTTCCCTGGGGGCACCTGAGTGGCTCAGTCAGTTAAGCAGCTGCCTCTGGCTCAGGTCATGGTCCTGAGGTCCTGGGATCCAGCCCTGCACTGGGCTTCCTACTCAGGGGGGAGCCTTCTTCTTCTTCCTCTCCCTCTGCTGCTCCCCCTGCTTGTGCATGCTCTCTCTCTCTGTCAAATAAATAAATAAAATCTTTAAAAAAAAATGTTTTATAGATTCTCCTTTATTGATGGGTCTTACATTTCAATGACCCAAGAATAACTTGTGAAACTGGTCAAATATTTTAATGATGTGGTTCATGGACCACATACGGAGAGCCTCTGTCCTGTCGTGTCCATGCCTCACATTGCCTTGTTCTCAGGTACGTGTATTTTGACTGACATTCTAGACATATAAAAAGAAACCCTAAACTTCAGAAACACCAAATTAGGCCACTATTAAAGAGAGACTAGTTCTAAAAATAGCTCAGCTATCTAGGGATTTTAAATATAGAAATTCTTTTTAGTCTTGAACATTTGAAACCCTTGTCCTAGTACCTAAGCTCATTATCGCTTAAATAACTGATTCTTAAGTTGCTCTTGGGAGTGGTGACACCCTGATTATAGTTGTGGGGTTTTTTTGTTTGTTTGTTTTGGGTTTTTGTTTGTTTGTTTGTTTTGTTTTTTGTTTTTAGTTAAAAGCCAAGCCTTTTACCTTCCTAACATCTTAGGCAGCCTGTAGCAATGGGAACAGACATTCACTGAACACTTACTATGTGCTAGGTAATACACCAGACTCTAGTAGGTACATCAGGGACTTCATGGTCCTTTTTAGCAAATGGGCAAATCTTCAAAACTTGAAGTAAGTGCATGTTTTTACACATGTGCTTTAAATTTACAGAAACACGGAGATAACCAAATACACCCTACACATGAAAATAGCAGGGCTGTAAATTTCTGTTGGCACTCCTTGTTAAAATAATAATAATAATAATAGTTGCCTAATGGATTGAAGCTATTTTAGGATTAGTGAGTAGGTGGGTAAGGGGAAAACAATTCAGATAATTCCCTAAACTTTTTACTGTTTACTGAAGTTTATTCAGAGAATACCTCCAAGCAAGACTGAGAAATCTGAAGGATGGAATCACCAGTGCTTAATTGAAAATCTATTTCCAGATAGAGTGGAGACCCAAAGCAAAACAAAGCAAAAGCAAAACAAAAGTGTAAGAAGCACTGGTTCTTCTTCTTCTTCTTCTTCTTTTTTTTTTTTTCTTTTAAACATAGTGTCAAACTTTTAACAGCCACTCATGGGACAGAGACCCCTTGCTGCACCTGAGCTACCTGAGTCTCTCCCATGTCACCCAGGCAGGGCTCAGTCCCCCACGTTCACAGGCCAGTCAATATTCAATTCCTTCACGCTACTACCTTTGCTCGTCGTCCCTCTAATGGCCAGACTCTCAATTTCACCCCACAAGCTTAAATCAACAGTGCTAATGCTTCCCATAACCTCTGGATTATTTCCTGTGTGTTGATTTTCTGGGGAATGTGTACATTTCGGTGTTGACAGTACAAGGTATATTCCATGCTCTCTCTTGAACTTAGCAGGTTTTGACAGATTTATGTGAGGACAGATGGCCATTACAGGCTGAAGGCTGACAAGAGGCAGTTCAGAGCATTGTTAACACACTTGCACAAACTCTCAGCAGTGCAGCGCTGTGCAGAATGTAATTCAGACTATAGCTTTTTTATTACTGCCTATTTTCTTTTGTCAAAAGAGCCTGCTGTGCAGAGCAACAAATGGCTGCTATTACCCAGAATGTAATGGGTGTCAGACAAATCACGTAACACAAACAATCAAGAGTATGTAGGTCATATTTCAACAGAGCACAACCTTAGCAATATTTATGATTACTGCATTGAAATGTGTTCTATAATAAACAAGTACCTCCGCATCACTCACACTTACGCACTTCCGCACAGCAAATCGGGGAGAAGTGCTACACACTCCACAGTCATCTTTGTCAACAGCCCTTTTATTTAAAAAAAAAAAAAAAGAGACCAGTTTTGTTTTGTTTTTCATTAGGTACCATAAAATTATTTTCTTTGAGGAATTCTCTTTTGGGTTTGTTTGTTTAATTGAATGACTCTGATAAATGATGACTCCTCTGGGATGTGTGTGTGTGTGTGTGTGTCCCACAGTCCAACCAATGACTTCAGCAGTTTTTTTTTTTAATAGTTTATAATATTTTATAGAATCTACTGCTCTGTGATTTGCTTTAGAGTTTCTTTGACAATGGGATTTTTCTTAGGTCTCATGTCAATTGAAATATTTCTTAAGGAAAACCAATGAGAAGATGAGTTTTGTAGTTTATTTTATTTTATTTCTTTTCAGTGTTCCAAAATTCATGAGTTTCTAATTCACTTAAAAAGTTACCAAAAAAGGAGGACTGGGCAGAGATGCATGTGGTTTATCCTACTCTTCTATTTTATGCTTCAAGAACTTGGAGTGGGTGTCAAGAGTTCACAGGAAGGGCTGATACTAAGTATGAACACTTACTGTTCCGCTAGTGAGAATATTTTGTTATAGAAGCTCCTCCCATGCTCTCCCCGGCCCCCAACTTCCCCAGGACTTCCTGGAGGTCCAGAGAAGCCAGCCACTGAAGTGTTAATACTTCCAGGAAGGAACC